ACCTGTTTCCTATTCCAGGATTCACTTATTTTCTACCAGTCTCCATGAACTGACAGAAGTTACCAGCCTTCAGTTGGCTCTCTACAGTCACAGAGCCTACGTTTGTGTTTTGACTCTTCAAGGTCTTGGGCAACTCACAAACCTTTTTGAACTTTGGTTTCCAATTCTCAAAAAAAAAAAAAAAATGGGGGGAGTATCAACACCTTACCCTTCTATGGTTATTTGTAGTATTAAAATCACAATATGGGGACAGTTTAAATGGAAAATTAGGTTAGGTACAAATTAGGTTAATGTGTGTATTGATTGCAGCACTGCCCTTAGCATATTAGCAGTGGGTTTGGAGCTGGGTTGGTAGAGTTGATGGCCATGTGAGAGATGAATGTCCCTGTTGATATCATGCATTATGATCTCTTAGGCTGGTATAGGAAATGAAGCCTGACCCAACCATTAGCTCACTTGATCTTCAGAACAACCCCATAGGATTAGCCACGTCTCATAGTCATGAAAGTAAAGCCTGAGTTTTGTTGTTTCTCCAAGGCTAACAGCAAACAAATGGAACTATAAAGATTTGTACCTAGTGTTTCTGCTTCCCTGTCCACAGCAAAAAGATGTCTGTACTCATGAGACTGGGAGCTACTGGGGCAAACCCAAGTCACAGAGAATCAAAGTACACCAAGAGACGCACATTGCTCTCAAAGTAGGTTTCTCATAGTTCAAACTCAAGACACTCCAAATTCACTCTTGAAAACGTTACTATTTGGACAGACAATGCATGGTTGGCATGAGGCTGAACCAGGAAGAGCTGGGCAGGGGAAGGATGAGGGGAGATGGAGGTGGCTAGAACCATGTGTGGGGCCTGACTTCAAAAAGGTCTCCCCAAGGGCACCTGGGTAGCTCAGTGGTTGAGCATTTGTCTTTGGCTCAGGTTGTGATCCTGTGGTCCTAGGATCAAGTAAGTCCTGCAGTAGACTGCCCACAGGGAGTCTGCTTCTCTCTCTGCCTATGTCTCTGCCTCTCTCTGTGTCTCATGAATTAAAAAAAAAAAAAGTCTCCCTAAAAATTGTTCAGTTTCCATTTGAAAAGCGAAAAGGAATGGAAAGGTTAACGTAGGATCCAGACAAGTCTTGGGGTACAAATCTACCAAAGAATCCTGTTTTACCTGGCGCCAGTACTTCCCCACGTAAAAGTAAATGGCTATGCCTTAAGCCTTGGAGGACTATGCTTGGACTTCAAGAAGTGTGTTCCAAGGAATAAATTAGGACTATGTGAAGCTTGGGAGCATGCACATGTATGTATATATCCTATAGTAAAACGTAGAATTTCCCATATGTGAGTAGTTAATAAACACCTTCAAACATCAAGGTTAAGGCACTAAGGCTTGAGCTTTCTATTTTAATTTTCATCGAAGGCAGCAAGAGCCCCATAGTAGTAAGCCAAGGGCCCAGAGGGGTGGCCTAGCAACTCTTTGGCTGGATACTCCTTTGAGAAAGGATGTCCAGCACTTCTAGAGGGAGGAGACCAGGGAAGATGACCAGGAGTGTAGTAATGAGTCTCTCTCTATTTCAGAGCTCAACAGGGTAGTCATGAAAAGGTGGTATGTTCTATTACATAATGGCATACAGAAATGCATTCTAGAACATTCTGAGGTCCAGATGTTCTAGATCTTGATCAAGAGAACTGGGAATAAAGGATGGAGCCATTACCCAGCCAATATTCAATATCTTGGTTATGAATTGTATCAGAAAAGGAACTCCAGGTTCCTTTCTTATAATGCACACATAATCCGCCATCTCCATGTAGCCCTGATTCTGCATTGGCCTGCATTCAAAGAAACCCTCTCCAAACAACCAAAGGTACTACAAAAAATATTTTAACTTGTATCTTTTGCAAATCCTGTTTGAATCACCCACCAACATTTCATATCCCCTTCTGCAACCTTACATTTCTCAATATCCCCTCTATCCATTACAGAGCAACCAAGCAACAAAACAATTGATTTAGCTTCTTTCATTAAGTCCTTCCCTTGGTCCTCTGTCTCTCTAGCCCATTCTCTGTTCCTTTCTAGTTCAGTATAACAAAAGAAAACACCTAACAGCAAGAGAAGGACTCTCTTTGGAGAGTCACAGGGAAGCCCCAAGGCCAGTGATGATGAACCCTGCAGGGAGAATCTGGGGACATCTTAGGTATACCGAAACATCTGGCTGCAGCTTTGGGGAAGTTTCTGAGCAGACGAATCCCTTAGGAGCAGAGAAAACATAAATCCACCACTCCCATATCCATAGAGATGAGGAAGTTAGACCCAGCTCAAATCGGGATTCTGTGATGTGACTTCTGAGAGTTCCTGCAACCAGGAACTAGCTCTAGGTCATGCTGGAACCCTGAAGAGATGCTGACACTAGGATCCTGAGTTATGATGATCTGCCTATTATTCCAGAGTTTCTTTTCCTATAATACCTCTTCCTTTTAGGTAGCTGCTGAAAGCATTCAGGCCAGCAGTAAATTAGTGACCAACTCAATTAAACAATGAAGTTTTCCCATACTTCTATATGGGGCTGGAGTCAGAGGAGCTATGAGAGCTCACCAAATGCTTCACTATCCTTTAGGAGCATCTCTTGCCATCAGAAGACACTGTAGGTTACTGGAAAGAGTGCAGATCTATACGTTCTCTTTTTCTCTTATTCTTTCCTTGCTCTGTACCAATCTGTAAATTATTACTACCAACTAGGTCTTATTTTCCTTTTCTCTTATTTTCTCCAAGAGATACGTGTATGCAAACAGTGACCAGCCTCCACCCTGGCCCACCCCTCCCTGCTGCCACAACATCTCAGATTTGTCTCTTGGGGGACAAATGGTGATCATGTGACTCCTATTGGTTGGGTCTGATGGATGGTTTTGATAGAGGTGAGAGATGATCAAGATATGCAGTAGAGGTTAAAATCACACGAAGGACTCACTTTATACTCGTTCCCACCCTGGAAACAGAGAGCCCATTCCTCCCTCCCGAAAAGTCACACATTGCAGAAATAGCTATAGAGAAGGAAGTGAAATTTCTTCACAAGCTCACAGACGATGGTGACGTGGGTTAAGCCAGGCTTTAGAAAGAGCAAAATTGGAAGAGCTTATCTGACTTACAAATCAGTGGCAAAGAATGAGAACATTTCAGGTCTATCAGAGAGGAATGCAATTCTGTTAAATTGGTTACTTTTTCCAGGTAGACAATCCCAAACTCACCTCTGCGTCTAATGCGGCTGTGATTCTAAGAAACATGTCAGAAATCTTACACGTGCTGACTGCCCCCGGAGAAACCAGACTTCATGTTTGACTTCATCTAATAGCACCTGACTTATCAACGAGATCTACAATGTGGTCTTATGGATGATGATGATATGATAATGCAGTGCTGTCCTTAATGCTTTAGGGGCTCTTGTTCCCTTATTAATATTGTACCTTCCCTTCCCCCTCTCCGACCAGAAAATCAGTAGCTGGATAAGAACCTTAATTCCCCAGTCATTCTGCTGAGAGCCTGAGGAAAGGAGTGATCCTGTTAGAGGATATCAAGAAAGGACAAGGTCCTACCAACAGATGTCCTGGCTGGAGGGAGGACTGGCTGATTCAGAACAGAGTCATGAAAGACACAAGGCTATTCTGGTGCCAAAATGGCTAAGAGAAGGCTGACTGCATGTATCGTGGGAACCCCAGTATTTCTGACTCACTGAACACTGGAAAGTGGAATTTAAAAAAAAGCTTTTTGATTTATATACGTGAGACTCCTTAGGTAGAAGCTGGAGCATGTATTTAGGACATTCTGTTTCTTTGCTATGGTAGGAAACAAATTTCATGAGCGCTTTTCCTCCCACAGAAGGGAAGCAAGTCTCTGGTCCTTGTTACTGGGCTTGTCCTAAATTCTGTGAGGGACCAAACAAGCAGAGCTTTAGACCCAGGTGCTAACTGGTTCATTTAATGATGTAAAAGTATTTTCAAGCTGGAGGCAGGGCATGCTGCAGTACACAATGTCACAATGTAGAGAAATGTTTTGTTTGCTCTGGCCAACTAGGGGAATGGGAAGGTGGAGACCAAGGCTGGGACAGCCATGTTGAAACTGACAACACACGGAGGTGGGTCTTAGGCATGGAAACAGGATGCCAGTCCAGGGGTCAAGGAGAGGTGGGCCCTGGGACTCTCTGTTTGGAGGAATAACTTTGTATCCTGAGACACTGACAGCTGATTTGCATCAGCTTTCCCAGATGAAGGGTTCCTTGCCCTCTCTGCAATTCTCTTGTGTTATCCTCAAGCCTTGTGAATGTCTGATAAACAGAAGATGTCCGTGTGGTGAATCTTGGGGATTTGGGGATGAAGAGGAGGTCTATACCCTGGCTTTCATGAGCAATGCAACAGGCGATAACTGTGTTAATGGACCCAAAAGGACATCTTGTTGAGAAATAACAAGTAGCAACCATCTAGCAGGGAAGGTCTTATGGGATGTAGAAGAGGAAGGAACCTTCCCTTGGGACTAACACACTCATTCCAGACACCACGGGAGGCTTTATCTCTGCCATGCAGGAGTCAGCTTGGGATGCTGGTGGTGGACCAATGAGAAATCAGGGTGAGAAAAGGCAAAAAGGGTGAAGCATTACTTTTCTGCATCTATATTTCTGGGGCTCCCCAGTAATCCTGATGAGACATGACCAGGTACAGCAAAGCAGTTAACTCTGAGAAGACTCAGCACATGGAATCCCATGGCACACCGAGGTGGCCCAACCAGAGGAGGGATCACTGGCTCTGTAGGAAACTGGTGTCTCTGGGCCACTTGTCAAGCAGGAAACACACACCTTTCAGATGCCAACACAACAAGCCACAGCTGGCTCAAGTATTTCAGGACTTGAACACTTGTAGAAGAAGGTCCCTGCTCAGAAGTGATAAGCAGAGCAAGGGCCCGGCCACACTGCAGTGTTGGGCCATCTGGGGTCAGCAGAGTCTGCAGGGCAGCACGAGACACTCACCTCCTTTTGATGGTGAGCATGACACCCAGGAGAATGATGATGAACATGAGGAGGCCAGCGATCACACCAGCCATCTTCACAGTGTTGTCCACTTGCTTCTCTGGCTCCACGGTGTTAGAATTCTGGGTGGAGGCACCTTTGAAGGGAAAGAAGAAGAAAGATGTTGAAAAGGCTCACACACATGACTAGACAACAATTATAATGACATCGGGTTCCATTTTTTTATAAATTTATTTTTTATTGGTGTTCCATTTGCCAACATATAGAATAATGCCCAGTGCTCATCCCATCAAGTGCCCTCCTCATTGCCCATCACCCAGTCACCCCCACCCCCTGCCCACCTCCCCTTCCACCACCCCTATGCTCCATTTCTTGAGTGCTGACTATGTGCCAGGCACTGTGCTAAGAATATTAAACACAATATTCCATCTCATCTTTTTTAGCACTAGTCCCTTGTGATGTTGGGATTATTATACCCCCTACCCCCCTTTTTTTGCAGATGAAAAAACTGAGGTACAGAGGAATGAAGTGAGTGGTCCAAGGCTGCACAACTACTGGGCTGGGGCATCCTTATCCTCCAGAGATCAACCCTTCAAGTGGAGGGTTTTATCCCTCACACGGACTTGTCCCTCCAATCAAACCATGGATCTACAGTTCGATTCTTAGGTTCATGGAGTTATCCCAAACCCTACTTAATTCATTCTGGCAAATGGTGAAAATAGCAGCTTTGTGTTAAGATAACCTGGTTAACATCACTGGATTTTTTTAAAGGTAAAAACGTAAAGATTTTGTTTTGTGCCTTATATGAAACAAACGGCAGAAATACCGTACGTTGAAGGGAACTGCCTGGGGTTCAGAAAACACATATGACTAACTCCATGTCCAGAATTCAATGCTGATGCTACGTTCTCTGCTGGTACTAACTCGTTGGTTCAATTCCAGGTAGCCAAAAAATGCCTAAGCCCCGGCCTCATCAGGCAACATCCCAGGGATCAGAGGCTACTTCTCATTCCAGACACCTACCTATATAAATGCTTCTGGAGCATGGCCCAGGGGTTACCAGCACCCTGAGTGAACTCCTTCCTGCTGCCACTCACATTCCCAATGGGGCCATGTTGGTGTGGGGCAGCTTAAATCCACAAAATCCTCTCCCTAACGCATCCCTGCTTTTCTGCGTCATCAGCACCAGCTCATCCTTCATCACTGACTGCATCTCCTCTGGTTGCCTATGCCCCTGGGACAGTTCCTCTCTTTCCACTAAATTCTAACTCCCTGTAACACTATGCACACACTTCAATATACCGATATTATTAGTTATTTGTTTCTCGATCTGTCTCCTCCAGTGGTCTGCAAGCTCCCTGGGGGGGAGATTATACCTCCTTTATCTTTGTTTCCTCATGGTAGCACTAAGCCTGGCTTGTAATAGGTGTTCTCTTAATGTTTGTGATCGTTCAACGTTTCGCTGAAGGGATGACATCCCTGCCCACACACATTTGTTCTCATGGAACCAAATTGAATTTCTCTTTTCTCAGCCATGGGTTCACATAACTCAGCTGAATTGAAGGGATGTGAACACCCATAAGCTACGATTCTGACTCCCCAAACTCACTGATATTTAAGAACAGCCATCTAGCACAAAGACACATCCCTTCTTCTTGTTGAAGATAGTCAAGAGTTTTCCTGTATCAGAGCACACTCCCCACACTGCTTGTAACTGGGACAAGCTGAGTTTACTTAGCTCAGTTTCCCCAGTGGGAATAGCAAATCTTCAAGAACAGGGAGTTTTCATCTCTCTAATGCCACTGTCTCGCACAGACCACTCTCCTCCTGTTGGCTAACAGATGATTACCGAATGATATAAAGATGAGTGTACTAGAGTTCTTTGCTTCATTCATTCATTTGCTACTAAGCACCCATGTGCCATGTGCCATGTGCCAAATGATGCTGTCTATGGGTGGGATGAGAGATCCTTCTCCTGGATGGACTTATAAATAAGGGATTTTATTCAGTTCCCTTCACCAGCTAAAGGCAAGACCAGCTAATCAAATCCCAGGGCTGCCTTAGCAACTTGTCTACAGCCCAGAGGGTTTGTGGGGGAGTTAGCCAAACCACCGCTTTGGCAGGGCTGGTCTTATATTCCAGAATGGGAGCTGGTTACAAGTAGCCTTCACATAGCCCCCATTTCCCATTGGAGCCATGATTTCTGAGACATGGCTAGTCCACTGCATATCAAACATAAAAGGAAGCTGAACATCTCAGATGACAATTTCTTCAATTGTGTCAGAGCCTTTTTATTTGGTTTTGGAGGAAGGAAATTAGCTCAGGAGCATTCATTGGCATAGCTAAACTTTATTTAGTGTCTGCTCTGAGATCCTATTCTAGAGACTGGGGTACAAAGGCAAAGGAGCCCTGGAGAAGATCCTATTACCCTAAGAACACTGTTACTGGCTTGGCTTAGATTCACACTTCATTCCTTCAGTAAATAATTGCAAGGACTCACTATATGCGAGGTGTTCAGTGATACAGTAGTGAGTGAAAGAGGCACATTTCCTGCCCTCCAAGAGCCTACCATGAGTGGTGGGTGGGACTCAGGAGATAAAATTAATGAACCAAAAATCAATAATAGTAAGCTTTTCAAATCTGTTAAGGAGGAGAAAAGAGAGGCACATGGCTCTTGGAAAGCACATTATACAGAAATGAATCATGAGTGGGAAGATGTGGCCAGTGGGGTAAGCTCCAAGGGAGGCCAGGCTGTAACCAGGTAGAGAACATGAGAGGAGCCTGTGGGAGCAGCAGAAGGAATAGCAGTGGCTTAGGCTGTGTAAGGGGGCCAGGAGCCTGGTGCATTCAAGAAATTAAAGAAACATAGCGTAACAAGGGTGAGAAAGCAGGGTGAGCATGGTGAGAGAGAAGCTAGAGAGTACAGCTGGGGCCTATCTACACAGGGCATTAGGGCCCACAATGAGAGGTTTTGTTTTTTACCCTAAGGGTAAAAAAAGCTTGAGGTTGAGGGAGCCACCCAGGGAATAAAAATAAAAAGTGAAAGGAAAAGTAAGCTTAGAGAGAGAGAGTAGAGGGTCTGCAGCACTTAGTAAGTGGGTAGAGAAAGATAGGCCTGCACAGGAAGCATAGCAGGAGTGGTCAGACAGGTAACAAGACAACTCAGGAGAGCTGAGTGCCCTAGAGCCAAGAGAAGAGTGTTTCAAGAAGGAATGAATAATCAACCGTATCAAACACTGCTCCATACCCAAGGGAAAGTGAAGATCTTGCATAAGTATTAGAAACTCTTCCCCAAATAAGTTTCAAGATGACCCTAGAATGAAGCATCTTCAGTGGTGACCATGAACGAACAACGGAGCATCCTTGATCAAGGGAGGCTATCTGAAAGGCCAGAACCTTGTGGTTTAGACAAATTCAAGGAGTTTAGCCAACAGGCATCAGAGGTGAAATCACATACTCGGTACAGGGAAGCTATGAGAAGGAGTCATATTTGGCTCACCCAACTGGACTCCAGGTACAGGGATGTGAATGTGCCCTGTGATATGGCCAACCCAATATCCATTGCAGTACCCTTTCGAGGGCATTTGCGCTAGCCACTGTGGAATTGTGTCTCTGTTCAAAAAGGAAGTATACCAACAGTGTTGAAAGGTGGTACAGGTATAGAGAAAATGGCTCAGGAACTGAAGGCCAGACACCATTCCTCTGTGGTTCCTCCATCTGAGAGGAAGAAGAAAGGGACAGAGACAGAGTATGGGCTAGATCTGCTTCTGGTTCAGAGTCAGAGTATGCCCAGGAGGCTTAGATCAAAGTCCTCAATGGAGAAGATGAGACCCTGTGATAGGACTTACAGGGAAGCACATAAGGGTTGCCTTATGATGGGGCCTTCTAACAATATGATGTGCTATCTCAGGTAGGAATTGAGCTCCTGAACAAACAGATGCCATGCCCAATTACAATGACTTTTTAAAAATTTAGCTTAAATGGATTGACCCATTACTGGGTGCTAAGTAATGTGCCAAATACTTTTCATATGTGAGGTCATTTATTCACAAAACTAAACAAGATGCTAGTCTTGTTTTCCCTTTCAAATAGATTAGAAAAGTTAAATGACTTGCCTAAGGCCATATAACTAGTGAGTTCTGGAGCTAGAATCTGTGTACCGGGCTTACCCCCTTAACACTCTAATGAACTGCCCTTGAGAGAGTTGCAGTAAAGGAAATTGCCCGAACTGGGTCCATGAAGAAGGTTGGCCATGTGACTCATTGGCCAGAAATCCAAGGAAACTTTTCAGAGGTTGAACTGGGAACCCTTCATCAATATGGTAGCTGTGTTTCTTTTGCTCCAAGTCCACCCTTTTCAGGAGAGTCAAACTTAGTACCAGCCTCCAGTCCCTAAAAAGCCTTGTTTCTGGCCTTGGGTAACTTCTATCTACTAAGTAGGGACTGGGATGGGAGTCTGCTAAATGAGAGAAGGGGGAGGGACTTGGATATATCCTCTTCATTTCTGCCTTCCATTGGGAACCAGCCTGAGAATAGTCCACGTAAATCAGAACTGGCAGCTAGGCACTAGGTGGTAAATTTATCCAACTGGAGAAACTTCAAGGTTCTACTTGAGTCCCCTGTGTCATGTAGTCATTAAAAACAATCTTGTGAGCTCAGCCTATGCTAACAGGAGACTACTATCTCTGACATGAGGCTGGATGCTCAACCTTATACCCCAGCCAGCTGCAACTTTTGAGCTCTGAGCATGCCCAAAGCTAAGCCAGTCTTCTCAGAGCAGTTGCGGCTGCTCCCCCCCATCCAGCCATGAAATCTATGTCTTAGGATTCAGACTCCTCCTAGCTCCAGCTCAGAGTTCACACCTGGCTTTCAGTGTACTATCTACTCACTATTACACATGGGAGCCTGATGCCCAAGGGATAGCTCTTGGTCTTGTGAAGTCTTCTCCTCTCCATACACAGGGCCAAGTCACCATGTTTTACTTCCCTACTGCGTCCTCCCATGCTATGAAACAACCATCCCAGTTTATATTCCCCCAAGGACTCCTGATATACACCAAGGGTAATTGGTTTTGCTTAACTAAATTGAACTAGTCAGGCCACTCTGATGAGGCTTATCCAGTTGTTGACTCCATCCT